ACAAGTAACATATTGATGGCGACGGATTACAGTCTTCCACATCAGTACGATATCTGGCTGTGACGTAGAGTTACGCTTTATCTTTGACGCTTCAATTAAATGAATCTATCACAAAAGTCAGAGGGCTGTCATTCTATGTCTCTCGGCTCAGAGCCTCCTGCGTTCCTCCTGAGTTGATCGTTCGCTTTGTCAATGCCTGTGTTCTTCCCCATTTGACGTACTGTTCCCCTGTGATCTTTCCCGCCGAATTGATTGCCTCAAGAGTTTCTGTGTACATAGCACAGGTTGATAGGCCTTAATTAACAACGCCTCACTAATTACCAACCTCATCGGGTTTTCGTTACATAATAACACGACGTTCAAAGTGTTATTACGTAATAAAACCCCATAATGCTGGCAATTATTGAGGCGTCATTGATTAAGACCTACCAACCTGTGCTATGTGCACAGAAACTCTTGAGGCAATCAATTCGGTTGCCATGGTCTCGACTGTGACATTTTGATTGATGATGCTTATTTTTTCCATGTGTATAATCCATTGTGCGTTTCAGCTCGTATGGCGTTTGCGACTGATGAGAATAATCGAAACGTTGACATGTCGCAGCCTCTGTCTTCTCTCTGCCTTAACGACATTGTCGAGATAGTGTGTGTTTTAGCACACAGTGCACAGTGCAAAAAGCAATTTCTTGACTTGATTTGATTTGAACAATGATTTTATACCGATTAAGAAGCACCGCTTTACATGACCCTTTGGGTAGTCTGGTGGGTCAGCGAAAAACGTAAAGGAAGAAAAGGTAATTAGTAGTTCTGCTATCAAAAGAGTGCATTTATCGTATGTAATGCAGTAGCCATACACTCCAAGTGTTTCCATAGCTTCAATAGACGAAAAATAAATCCAAGGTATTTCCCGGGAGTAGGATGGTGAGTAGTGTCAAGTAACAAAATGTAAGTGGTGGAGTGCGTAATCCAACCAACTTGTAAAAATGGCTAGCGTGGGTGCTGAAACAACACATTCGGGGAGAGCTTTCCATGGTTGACACGCACGAACGGAAAAGAAATTTCTACGGCTAGCCAGGCGGCTGTATTGTTCTGTTAAGATTTAAGCAATGGCCTCTAAGTTTGGTGTTACTGCTGAGTTGTAGTAAAGAATGGCACTCATGATTTCGAATGTGTAAAAGCAAGTAGGTGATAATCAAGTCATCGCGTAGTCGGCGATACCGCCCATTGCATCCTCCCAAAAAGTGGCACCTTCCTCTCGTATGGAAGATGGCGCATTCCAGTGACATATTTATAAGCCCGACCGGGTGGTTGGTCCAGTGCAGTGAGGTCGTGCTTCAGCCATGACTGCCAGGTTTGGAGTACCTATTCGACATGGGGGGGGGGGCGAACATACGCATTCAGCTCCTGTTTGAAATTACTGGTATCTACTTCTCTAAAAACCCGTCACAGCTAGCCGATGTCTTGGTTGCCAGAATTTGATGAATTAGCAGATTGCTTGGAACAACCTAAGTTGTCCTGAATGAGCACACCAAGATCGCGTTTGACGGATGAGTGCTGCAGTACTTGCTCTCTTAGCCTGTAAGAATAGGTACTTTGGTGTCGTATGGAGAGTACATAGTATTGGTCCATGTTGAACCGTAACAGGTTTCGGATTGACCAATCATATACCGTGTCTAGGTCATACTGAAGTAACGTTTAATCGGCAGCCGCCTGAATCCGCATCATAACTTGATATCGTCAGCAAATAGCAAGCAATTTAAAGCGATTGTCCGTCCAAGGTTATTGATGCAAACCTACAATCGTTGTGAACCTAGAACTGGGCCCTGGAGAACACCAAGCTCCACTAATATGGGGTCACAAAAGGAACTCCGGACTCTGACTACTAATTATCGTTCCAGGAGAAAGGTGACGATCCGGCTCAAGAGAGGGTCACCGATCCCGTAATATTGGAGCTTGGCAATGAGAATTTGATGATATAAACGATCGAAAGCCTTCGACAAATCCATTTAGATCACATAAACGGCTTATGCAACCTCAGCTGACTCGGTCCAACTACTCCGCACAAGTAATAAATTCGTCGTGCACTATCGCTGTCAACGAAAGCCGGGTTGCTCATGAACAATAATGTTACAATTTTCTAAGCAACACACCAATGTATCGGCAACGGTGGACTCCACGAGTTTGGATAATAAAGGGAGAAGAGACACTGGGCAGTAGTTTGAGGGCTCAGCTTTGCTTCCACCTTTGTGAATCGGAGTTATTATTCCAAGCTTCCACATCGCAGGTACCTGGTACTGTTCTAATTAGTGATGAAAGAAGTGGGCTAAAGGTTTTGCCAGCTGTCTTGATGCTGCACCCAGTGCTTCTGGGCGAATGACCTCGACTCCCGAAGAGCTGTGTTTGCGTAGAGACGTCAGCTTCTGCAACACAGCTTTGGCAGTACACGAAATGTGCGTGAGTCCGGTAGGCGGGAAAACAAAAGTTGGAAGATGGCCTGATGGTAAGACCCACTGAAATATGGTAGCATATTGCGTCCGCAACGCGTTTGCTGCTTCTAAAGCAGTTTTAGTAAGACCATCAGTCATCCGGAGCAGAGGAATTGCCTACCTCACCTTATGACGGCGATTGACATATTTGTAGAGCAGTTTGTGATTAGCTCTTAACTTTTCGACATATTCTGCTGATCTCACTCATCTCTGAGAGATGAGTGTAGTGAGTACCAAGGGTTCCGTATTTGTCCCAGTGACCTGGCGTTAGTGATGGTCTATACTCTCGATAGTCTGCTTTGCGTAGTCATCCATTTACTAGTTCTGCTTTTCAGGAAGGAAACGGTTTTAGGTCACTTGAAAACCCATGTCTCTGAGGCATCCGTAACCAGTTGTTTGACTTGGTTAATGATTTCAAGTCAAGCAACTTCCGGGTGGCCTTCAACGAGGAACATCCAGGTTGTGGCACTGACGAGCTGAGCTAAGCGATCGCAGCGCCTAAGGATGCGCACCGTCTGAGTCTACTGTTAACGATATACCGCATAGTAGATGTAGTCGAAACTGCTGAGCGCATAATAGAATTGCATAGCAAATTGCGCAAAAGACAAATGAGGGGAATAAGTTAGACAAAACGCAACAGTGCCGCCAGAAGGAACTGTTTTTGTTCACCATGCTTCAGAGCTGTATACCACACGTGCTCACGAGGCAAATAACAAGATCTGGAGCGATGCCTTTATATCAAGGTCGCCCTTTCGATAAAGTAACGGCCATGTCATTCACGGGAATCTCTCCGTCATCTGGGCACTTCTGCCTATCCGCAACATGGTAACTCATTGTTAGAATAAATAACAAGCATGGCACTGGGAAGAGGTAGCAAGCCTTCCGCTTGATATCGCTTTTCTGGCAGCCGATTTGCCGGTAATTCAGTGGCAGTTGAAGCCGGAAGCCCACTAGTCGATGGGGGTAACTTTGGCAAGCCCATGAGCATAACCGTGATTCCTATGAACCTTGGGTGATAAGAGCCTCGAAAACACTGCATTCTGTTGTGTACGCAAGTTAAGAACCACTGTCCGCGAAAAAGAATGCAATTTATAGTCATGTCTACCTAACGTCAATACATATAGGAGTGAAATAAGATTACTAATGGTGCGACCGTGTACATGAGTTTTGCAAGGACGAGTGCGGATAGCACGACCTGTCTGAACGCGTGAGGGAAATAACCTAATATCCTGGCTAATTATGCGGAGCATCAAATCCATTCACCGACAGTTGCAGCCAAAAGCCTATCAGTCGATTTGGGATAAGTATGATAATGAGGTTCAAATGGATATCGGGCGTTAACCGCCTCAAAACACTACACTTCAAGACTAGGTTGGAGCTGGTTTTATCTCATTAGGCACAGGTAGTAGTCATCGAACGCAGGACCTTTAGGGTGTTAGCTGAAACCTCTATTCATACACCACTGAGTCCGGGCTGGTGATAATTTTCCGAACCGTGGTGGCTTCTGTCCTCAGTTTTGTCTCCATTACAGAAGCTGATAGGATCAGTGAAATATCAAGATACTGAGAGTTCTGGCGGGGTTAATGACAAGGAAAGGGAGAGTGTGTGTCGATCTTGTTGGCGGCAAATATTGAAAACTGCTGCACCTTAACTTCCCTATTTAGTTTCCAGTATGAGGAATCCCCCTTGAACTCGGACGTTTTGCTTCGTGTGTATACGTGCAAACGGTAACAATGGTGCTTGATTTCATATTCGTTAGTTCTCGGGACATTTGCGGACCACCGATGACCGCGGGCGTAAAATGGGTACGAAACTTCACCTCAATAGTTATTTTAAGACTATCGGCCGCAAAAACCTGGTGTTCATACCATGGCAAAACGCACTTGCTGTTAGCATTTTACACCACAATCTAGAGCGTGAATGAATCAAAAGACAAATGCGCACTTAACGGAAGTGCGTGCTTTGCTCATCCATTACGGAAGTAAAAATGTCACATGTCGATAGTCCTTTGAGTTATGATTAGCCGCACTTTGTACGACTGCCTGCAATTTTCATATGTTTTACTCACTGGAAGAAGCGGCATAAATTTCTAAATTGCAGCGAGTTAATAAACGGCATGCATACCAAGTGGTCACCGATTTCGTGTTATTGAAACGAAGTTCCCAAAGGACTGATATGCTTACCCTAGCTTGTAGGCTACAGTTCGTGAGCGCTCTGCTACCTAGATGCTCTTATCTGGCACCGGAAGACCAGCCAGGTTGCCTAATACAGGCTTTTAGCATTCGTACGCCCCTGCGAAGTATTTCGGCGTCAATTCCCACGAACATTGGGATTAGTTGCGAGGAGTTATTCAAGTGTAGGATATAAGAAATATATATGTCATGAATTGCTTACACCAAGTTATCTGGTGTGCAGTGGGTTTAAGTTCAAACCTAATATCTATCGACCCGGTTGTAGGGACTGCGTATGACCAGCTTGTTGGAGCCACCTTTTAAAGCAAACACCCTAATATACATGACGGAGAACACCATCCTTTGCACCTGTTTTTGTTTCCGGTTGTTAAAATGTAAAGAAAGGGAACCTCAGGAGATCCCAGAGACTACACAAGACAAGATACTGAAGGCGAAAGCGACGGCACTTGCTACTGTGTTGTTCAAGCACGATGATCTGTTCGCTATTGAGCGGATGGCTAAGATGGATAAGGATGCGTTGAAACGACCCACGACTTCGGAGGCTGTTGAAGACGCAGAGTTTATGGATTTGCTTCCTCAGTCGTTCGCGCTGAAGGCCTACCTGCGAAACAACTCTCGTCAAATAACCAGATTAGCGTTGCTTGGATTATTGGAGACTGTTCTTTCGTAATCACAATCGTTGTGCACCGTTCTGTGGGTTTTGTCCCCTTGGCAACATGGGATCACGTGGGCTGCGTGCTTTGGCAACAGAATTATTTGACTCACGGCCATACTTAGTCACAGCCGCTGCACATACGGAAAGTACCGTGAGGGCATTTCATCCTTCTCGTGTTCATAAGCATTGTGCATATCAAATGGCCGCACGACATTACCCTTTCTACTCCGCTGCTAAGAATACTGGACTACGAGGGGTAAGCGTCAACCGCTGTAATTAACTAGTTTGATGGCTGATGTATTCTCAGCATCAACAGCCCTGTGCCTTGAAAACGTCCAGAGGACTGGGTTAGCTCACAGAGGCTCCGTCGGACGATAACTTAAAATTTTCGACGCTGTTGCCGTTAAAATGTAATCACATATGAGTGCCCGTAAAAGAAAGGCACATCAAAAGATGAGGGACGATAGGTGACAACGTCAGTCACCTGCGGTGGCATTACGTCAAATAAAGTTTCCAACCGTTGATGCAGTCTACTTCACTGACCTCATCAAGGAAAGAGTTTTAAGTTTAATTCCCAAACTTCTCAGGTCAGTTCCTTTAGGTCGCAAAATGGTTATGTTGATGCCACATATTAAATCATTGCATGCCGGTTGCTCCATCACAAAAGACATTCTAGTTTTGCTGTAGTGGTTATAGTAATAGAAGTAGTAGTAGTAGTAGTAGTAGTAGTAGTAGTTGCCGCTGCTGCTGCTGCTGTTGTTGCTACTGCTACTGCTCCTGCTGCTGCCGCTGCGGCTGCGGCTGGAAGCGAATACAATGAGGCTCGCAAAAATCTCAGGGCAAAACTACGTGCTAGCCTGAAGAAGGACCACGAAACCTGGTGGTCTCATCGTGCCTCTGAGATGGAAACAGCCGCTGCCATTGGTAATCATCGTAAGTTATACCGTCTGATACGGGAAACAGGCAGCAGGAGACCTGGTGTTAGCGAGACCATACGCGACGAGAGTGGGCAGCTGATCCACAGCTTGTCAAAACGCTTGGAGCGTTGGGCTGAACACTTTGCAAGGCAATTTAACCAACCTGAGTTATCGCTTTCTTCTTCGGGCATTGAGCGCCCTTCTCCTTGGGCCGTCTCCTCGGATCCGCCCTCACGCGCAGAGGTCGAACGTGAGATCAGGCTGTTGAAATTGCACAAGGCCGCAGGAGCAGATAGAATTCCTCCAGCCCTCTTCAAATTCGGGGGACCTGCCCTAGTAGATGATCTACACGAGTTGCTAGTAAAACTTTGGTAGCAGGAGACAGTCCCGACAGACTGGAACCGCTCCGTCATTGTCCCAATTTTCAAGGGAGGCTCTCGTTTGGAATGCAGCAATCACAGAGGGATCAGCCAGATTTCGATTGTCTCTAAATTGATTGCCTCTGTCATTCTCCACAGACTGACTGGCACTCGTGAAAGCCAGATTCGTGAAGAGCAAGCCGGATTTCGTCGAGGTCGGGGCTGCATCGACCACATCTTCACATTGCGTCAAGTGTTGGAGCACCGCCATGTTTATTGGCGACCCACCATTGTCGTGTTTCTTGACATAAAAGGTGCCTTCGACTCAGTCGATCGATGTGCCCTTTGGGATTGTCTGTTGAGGAAAGGTGTGCCTGATAAATATGTAAACATTATCAAAGCGCTGTACGCGCATAGTTCGGGCAGGGTGAGGGTTTATGGCAAACTCTCGCCACCCTTCAGTATCACCAGCGGTGTGAGACAAGGATGCTCGCTGTCACCTTTCCTCTTCAACTTCGCTATTGATGAAGTCATGGAAACAGCGTTCGCTGGACACGACCTAGAAGGTGTGGAGCTACTTCCTGGTGAGCGACTTCTTGACCTGGAGTATGCGGACGATATTGCCCTAATCTGTGACAGCCCCAAACATGCCAAACAGCACTGGACCGATTAGCACTGGCTGTCAATCGTTTTGGGCTATGCTTTGCTCCATCGAAATGCAAAGTACTTCTCCAAGATTGGCAGGGACCCAACCCTGCGCTAACGCTTGGTGGTGATCTGCTAGAAGTCGTTCAGGAATTCAAGTACGTGGGCAGCTATATTAGCACCCGTGGGATTGAAGATGAGGTTACGAACCGCATAGCAAAAGCTCGAGGTGCTTTTGTCAATCTCCGCCACCTGTGGCGCAGACGCGACATTACTCTCGCCCTGAAGGGCAGAGTTTACAACGCAGACGTCCGTTCACCTCCCCTATATGGTTGTGAAACCTGACCCATCAGGTCGGCAGACATGAAGAAGCTCGTCATATTCGATTATCGCTGCCTTCGCAGCTTAGCTCATGTCTGGTGGGAACACCGCTTGAGCAATGAGCGAGTTCGACGTCGCGTATTTGGTGCAGGAAGAGCGAGTGAACCACTCAGCACCATTATATCAGGCACTAGGCTCCGATGGTTGGGCCACGTGTTGCGCATGCCAGCACACGGACTCCCGCGACGTGCATTGTTTGCGCGTTGTGGGTGCGGTTGGAAGAGGAGGAGGGGCGGCCAAGTGATGACTTGGTCGAGAGAAATGAAAACCCTCACTTCGAAGTTGGCGTTGGTTGGTGCATCCCGACTGCCTGGCTGGGGTCCTAAGGACGGTGAACACGTTTGGTTGGACACACTTGCTGATATGGCTAGGAGCCAGCACCAATGGCGTTTGTGTTGTGATTTCCTTTGTCCATCTCCCTCCTGTTTAGTATCCCCCTCCAATCACGATCTCACCTGTTAGGCATAATACGATTCTCTTTTACTGCAGCCAGCTGTTAGCTCTCCGGAACGATGTTCATCCGTTACTGGGAGCTCAGCAGGCGTGCCACTGTTTTCCTTTTCTTTTCTCTTGTATTGCGGCACAATAGCTGAGGTGTTTTCCACCTCCAGCTAACGTGTAATGATGACTACTACTACTACTACTACTACTACTACTACTACTACTACTACTACTACTACTACTACTTTTACGCACTGGTCATCCCCAGTAATGCTACTACGGCCTATACAACCGGGTGGTATTTCAACTACTAAAGAACCATAGAAACACACACGCTCTCCCGATGTTCTGCGTTCTTGCTACTGCACCTGCGTTAAAATCACATGCCACCCAATTACCTACCTTCCCATTGTACTATCCACCCACTTCATTACCTGATTCATCGACGGTGAACCCCTCCGTCTCTACCAGTGAATTCGTCTTAACAACATCTGCCAACTCAGCCACAGAGTGCTTCACAGAGAACCACCAGCCACATGGTCTTCCATGACCGCCTACGCAACCTGGAACTCGGTTAAAAGCTGGCAACGCTAAATGTGCACACTCTACTGCAGATCGGACAACAAGCGGGACTGGCGCGCACCTTAAAACCCTTGCAACTGATGGATGCTGCCTGACTGAGACACGACATCATGATCCAGCCGCAGTCTACCAGCTATGGTCACTAATCCACCACCACACCCGTTATCATATGCGCCATTCTGGTGACGCAGAGTCTGCCGCTGCTTTACGAGCTGGTGTTGGCATTGCGTTTAGGGTTTGAGCCGAGGCTGCCCTCCTTGAATGGGTTCCAAGCAAAAGTCGTCTCTTTGCTATCAGGCACTGTGACTCCTGCAAGGTTAGCAGACATCGAACCGAAAAGCGTGCTGCTTTTGTGATTTCCAACTATGCCCCCACTGGCTGTAGCTCGGATGCAAATTTTTTAACATCCGTTCCTAAAGATGAGGGCGCACGTACGAATTGCGCACCATGGGAAAATGGATGGGTCAAAACTTCCGAATGCTCTCCGCAACTAGCCGACGTGCTGCTTTGCTCTCTTCACAGCTGCCTTTGACAGCTTTGAACAGTTAAGGTCACTTTGAATGAGCACTCCAAATCGCGTTCCTGGGAGGTTGTTTGCAATAAGTGGGCGTGCAGTTTACAACTTTGTAGTGCATAAGCGATTTTCTCGGAAGACATGTTGCTCTGTTGCTATCGTGTTGTGATTTTCTAGATATTGCACGGGCGCGTCAGCGATGATAGGCTCCATAATCTTGGAAAGAAAAGGGAGTGGCGTTATCGGACGGTAGTTGGTTGTTTCAGTGCGACTACCTCCTTATGAATAAGTGATGACCCCTCGTTTTCATATTGCTGGAATGTGGTTCTCCCCCAAACAGCGCTGATAGAATTCAGCCAGAGGTTCCGCCAGATCACTGGATGTTGCATGTAAAGCCCTTCGTTCGATTGTTATCGACACCAGGAGCGCTGTGGATACGCGGCGATAACGGATTCTTTAACACAGTTTCTGCAGTGGGGGACATTGGATAAAGCGGCCGGTGCGACTGTAGAAACCGGGGTAGCTTTGGGGCTTCTTACTTTCCAGAACGTTTGTGAGTAATGGAACCGTAAGAGATTGGTTGCTTCCGTTCGTGCTCACACGTACCCGTCAGTCGTGTTCAGTGCTGGAATCCCGCATTGCGTTTTACGAGGGCCATTAACATGCCTGTATAACAGTTTGCGGTCCGTGCATAATCTCTTCATCAACACTGGCTGATGAGTCACCACAACTTCGCGGGTCAAGCTTACACAGAAGTTACGCTGTGCCACGTACGCAGTCCAGATTTCGGAATTCAGTGAGTCCTTGTGAGCTCCCCATGCCGAGTCCTTCAAGGACAAGCATTTACGTGCTTTGCTCCCAAGAAATAACGCTTCTCCTTTGACGTTGGAAGCATTTCTGCTCAGACACGAGCTAGCATTGTGCTAAACATCTACGGGAATGTATCTCATGTGATTTCTGAAGGGCAATCAGTTAAGAAGATTCAAGCTACCTCCTTAACAAGTGCGGAGAACACGTTGTAGTGCCTGACCATATACACATTTCTCATCCTCTTCCTCAGGATATTCCGCATAACATATATACCTAAACAATAGACTCACCCGCTGGATGCAGCCTTTAATGGGTGGATGGTAGCGACAGGTGCCGGTGATGGGGGAAAGCAATTAAAACCACAAT